ACAACCGCAGCTGAGGAAAACTGTATTTTCTTCTTTAAAGCTTGTGAAAAGTTACTCTGCTTTTGTGGGTTCCTGCTCCTTTTTAACTCATGGGCCTCAAGGCGAGCCTGTCCCGGTGCCATTGCTGGCGGTGTCCAGGCACTTTGCTTGAGACTGATCTTCAGCGAGAAGTCAGGCATCTCGAGCCTTGTCAAGGCAATGTGAAATAAAATATTCAAATCCTGAAGGGAGATGATAAAAGGGGACAATGTGACTAAAGGCATAAAGAGAGAAGAGCAGATGTGTTCCTCTTGCCAGCTCCATTAAAATGATCACAATGTTCCCTTTGGGCTTTTGTATCTGAAAGGAAAGGCTGTGGTCGAAGTTTTGCCTGCAGGAGTTTTCCTGGCAGTAGAGCAGCATGGTCTATCCAGAGTTACTGATGGCGATCTTGAATTTAAAGGACTAGGTGTTGCTGCAGTCCATCCTGGCACTGGCTGTGCTTACTGGTGGCAGCAAGAGGACAATTAAGTGGTGATAGGAGACAAACTCCATTTATGCTTGGAAATTGCAGCTCCTCCACCTTCAAGATGGGATCTACTGTCAGGATGGTAGAACGGGTTACGTTGATGGGTTGGCTTAGCAAGTTCAAGTGTAGGAACAGAGGGGTTGGGTCAAAAGTGACTTCAGGTTGATTTTGGCCTCCTCACAGTCTCTTGTCATGGAGACCTTTACCCCAGCTGCGATGCACTAGAAGTTATTTCTCATTTCCCTGTAGGAAGACACACAGTGCTCTTTGAACGCAGGTGTGTGCTGGAGGCACATCTCAGCCTGTCCCTGCAACGGGGACTGAGCGGGGATAATGCTTCTTACACCAGCTCTGTGCCATTTCGAAATAGGGCTAGTGATGGGGTTAATTTTAGAGGCTTTCCCTTCCCTTCCCACCTTGTTCCGTGATGCCATAGTGGCCTCAAACAGCCCTGGCACAGCTGAGACTGCTCCACGCTGTCCGCGGCTGTCATCTTCTCATGCACTCATGCTTCTTGTGGTTGTGGGGCGAGCGACTCACAAACTTCTGTTTCCTCAGGTGATGAAGACCTACCACATGTATCATGCAGAAAGCATCAGTGCTGAGAGCAAGCTGAAGGAGGCGGAGAAGCAGGAGGAAAAGCAGTTCAACAAGTCAGGGGACATCAGTGTGAACCTGCTGCGGCACGAGGACAGGCCTCAGCGGCGGAGCTCCGTCAAGAAGATTGAGAAGATGAAGGAGAAGGTGGGTGAGAGGGAAGGACAGGGGAGCCAGGCTGGGGCTGGGGCTCCCTGCGGGCAGGAGGGTTTGGCTCTGGCCCTGTCCGTTTCCGTGCAGCCGTTCCTGTACCCTTGGGCAGGGGTTAGGGAGGCTGTCAACTCGTGTGTGTGTTTGGCTGGAGGGCGGTCTGAGGAGGCCATAATGAGTCTCTTTACTGCTTCTTGGCTGTGGAGAAGTGCCGAAACCAGCTGGTAGCGAGGATTTGACCCAAAGTCAGGCTGGCACTGCTCAGCAAGAAATGGGGATGGGGGACATTGGGCAGCGCAGCCTTGGAGGGGGTGGCGGACCTGCATGGGAGCCATGTGGCCACCAGTGACATCTTCCAGGCTGGCTCTCTGGAGGGTGGGCTGAGAAGGGTGGCTGGAGGGGCCTTGGAGGCTGATGGCCCCGAGAGCACACGGCAGAGATGGGTGGTGGGAGGTGCTCGCACACCAGCTGCTCGGGCTGGGCCCTGTGGGTCTCGCTGGGGGCTTGACGGTGCCCCGGCTGGGACCTGAGAGGCTGCGCTGACGCTGAGGAGAGCAGGGCACCGGCGTGCCTGGCCCGGCACAGTGATGCTTTCTGATCCAGACGAGGGATGCTGCTATGGGGGGCTGCTGTTTCTTCATGTCTTTTTTTTTTTTTTTTTAAATAGCACTTTTAACCATAAACAATAGCTGTCCCAGGGTTCCTTCAGTCAGAGGCTTGGGGGAGCAAAAAAAAAGGGTTGGGTATATAAAATAACTGTGTTTCTTCCTCTGCAGACCGTCTGGGAGTTAAAGCACAGCATTCAGTTGGCTTTGCTAGTCAAAACACTTAACTCCATTCCAGCTTCAGCAAATCCCCAGATCTCAGGATCTCCAAAACCGTTTAAATTTTCTGTTAATTTCTGAGAATAAACAGTATTTTCCCTAGCCAGGAAGCTTTTGCACGCATGTTGACCCAGCACCGGGACACTGTCTAGTGGCAAGCCTCTTTGAAGGGTTAATCTTTTGTGCTAAACCTTTAGACTAGTGATCTGCCTGAGCAAATGCCCCAGATCTGAGCACATCTGCTTTCCTACAGAGTTTTGAATTCTGGGTCTTGTTCTAAATTTTGTAGCTTGGGCCTCTGGGCCAGATTCCACTTTGATACAGCTGCGTAAATCTGGAGCAAGTCCAAATGTATGTCAGCGTATCTGGGAGGAAAATTTGGCCCTCTAATTTTGATTGATGCCAAAACCTCCACGAATGCACAGATAAAGGAAGAGCATCTGTGCTTGGGATGCACTGGGTACATCTGAGCAGAATGCGCTCGTTGTGCGTTGGCTGATGGTACTGGGAATGTTCAAATGTGATGTCCTCCATCCTGGCAAGGGTGCCTGTTTCCATACCCGATACCAAATTTTATTAATTAACGCGTCACACCCAGGCTGCAGGGTGCTGTGGGGCCCTGCAGCAAGAGAAGCTGTGAAAGTCGCATCCTATTTGTGCTCTGACAGTCCATTTTGCTTTTTCAGAGACAAGCCAAATATTCTGAAAACAAGCTGAAGTGTACTAAAGCCCGGAATGACGCTGAACCTGGCAGCCACCAACGCAGCTGTCAGTAAATACTACATCCACGACGTCTCTGACCTCATTGATGTAAGTGCTTCCTCCCCCTGCGTGCATCCTGCCTGTTCTCTACTGATAAGCACACAGCTAAATCTTAAGCATGGTTTGGTCCTTAAATGCACTCTCATGTGGTGGTAATGCAAGGGGTATTTGTTGGGGCTTTAAAATGTGCTTAACTGGGGCCTGAAAATGTGCTGTGAATTTGGATTCCCCCCCGGTGTGTTTTTTTTTCCTCACAGCTACACACACACATTTGACTTCCCCCCAGTTGATGTAGGCATATATGAGCAGAACTAGAGCTGCTGTTACATAGGAGTCATAGAATCATAGGATGGTTTGGGTTGGAAGGCACCTTTAAAGATCACCTAGTCCAACTCACTGCCATGGGCAGGGACATTTTTTCACTAGACCAGGTTGCTCAAAGCCCCATCTGACCTGACCTTGAACACTACCAGTGATGGGGCATCCACAACTCTGGGCAACGCTCAGAGTCAGCTGCCTCTGAGCTTTATGTTGGCCACATGGTCACACAACAAAGTAATTGATTCATATATATGCTACCTATAAACTTCTTTCATTGGTGTCTGGAAAAAAAGATGGAGTTTTTGTTATAACTGCAGGGTATGAACCAGCCTGAACCACTTTCCTGAGCACATAAGCAGGGGAGTCCGGATAGAACTGCATGGTTCAGGGATCTCTAATACACAGTTACAAACTAGAAATCGCTTGAATGTTTTCTGCACTTTTCACGCTGTATCATGAGCATGCTAAGGTCTGGTTGTCGGTGTAGGTTGGCTCTGCCTTCAGAAGAGCGCAGACATGGTGCTTTCCTTCATGTTAAAGCGATGGCTTCATGGGCTGTGGCTCCCACACAGCAGGATGTCCTGCAGCTGGAGCTTCTCAAAGTCCAGAGCCTTTGGAGGAGAATTTGCCGTGGGGCAAGCCAGGTCACCTGGCTTAGGGTTTCCTCCGGGCCCATCGATCAGTCTGCATTTGAAACAGATAAACTCTTACAAAGGTCAGATACATCCTCATTTTTGTTGTTGAAACAGAAGATTTTTCTTTCTACTACGTGCATCTGCAGTTTCTATCAGTATGAGCAGGCTCTTAGCTCTCCACAACTTTGGTGGAGTTAAGCACACGCAGGCAGTTAAGCACATGTGGAAGTGCTTTCCTCGCTAGGGAAGGCGCTTGCTGAGTTGTATCTGAAGTGCTCATTGCACGAAATAGCCACAGGGCAGGAACTGCTGGAAGCAGGTTTCGTAGTGATGGTAGGAATTGAATGCCTGTGTGCATCAGCGACTCCTACGAACTGCTTTTAAATGGTTCAAGAGAGGGGATTTCCATTTCTTCCTTTAATAGGCATCTTCGCAGTGGTATAGATTGCACTATGCAGAGTTTCTTCCTGCTAGAGTTGCTTCAATGAGCACATAAATAACTGAGCTATAAGTACCAAGTTAGTCTTCTGGCTTCATCATTACCTAAGTGTATAGTTTAAAAATGTGCTGGAGTGTTTATCTCCTTTACTAACCCACTATCATATATTTATTCTTCTAAGCATTAATTAATTCTGATGCAGAACCCCTGATTTCAAGATTTTGAGATACGATAAAATATTCTTAGTACGTCCTTTTTGTTCTCTTTACTACTTAAGATGTACTAAGCCATATGATAAAACTAATAGCTTGATCATGGAGACATTTGAACAGCAGGGTGTGATAACACCTTGATTTATCTGTGGGGTATCTGCTTTTTGTTGTGTATATTCTCTCTCTTTCTCATTCTCATTTATTTATTTTTTTAAGCAAGAATGAATTCTTTTCATGGAGTTTTGGGGACTTTGATTTCCTGGAGAGCTGCCGAGTTCCGTTTTAGTTCTGGCTGTTTATATTATTCCTCCCAACTTTATTTCCTTGCTGAAACTTCCACTGGAGTCAGCAGATGTCTTTTCTTACGCACTCCAGGAATCCCTTCAGGGGACTTTAACTAAAGCATCCTCAACTCTGTGCAGCTAAATTCCCCTAATTATATAATCTGTTCACCAAAGAAAACAAAATATCGGACGTGTGAGCTGCACACGTGTGTTCTAATTTTAAATCCCCACAGGAAGGGCAGTTTATTTGGACAGACTTTTGTACAAATTCAGTATATTTTGCAAGAGCACGGCAAGAAGGGTTTCGGCACGCTCCAGAAGAAGGGGATCCCATTCACTGTGTCCCACTAATACTGACAGTGGTTGAAGGAAAAGACAGCCATTGGATCCAGCAGCGTTGGGCTTTCTGTAGGTGTGTAATCCATGTAAAGGAAAATGAAGAAAACGGGTATTTTTAGATGTAGTTATAAAGTTAGTGTTTTGATCTTAGTACATTTAACAATGATAAGAAGACAGTGCCTTTCACTCTCAGGAATGACAGTGCCATTTGCAAACACCGGGTCTGTACCATGGCAGTAGGCAGGACGCGGGTCCTCTGCCCCTTGGGGCAGCCCTGCCGTTTCATGGGGTGCAGGAGAGGGGCTCTGAGCAGAGAAGGTGAATTTTGCCTTTGATTGAGAGCCAGCAGAGCCTTTGGCTGCAGCAGCGTGAGCAGAGCGGGGCGATGCAGGGTCCTGGGCAGACGGGATGAGCGGGTCTGCAGGAAGAGAGTGAGTGTGGAGGGGCTTCATGGTAGGAACAGAGTTTTGGTTTAGCTCAAAACCTGTCTGGCCACGCTTTAATAGGATCCTTGCAGGGTCCATGTATTGCAGTTATGCAAATTCTCCCAGCTCCTCCACCCTGCGCCACCAAGGGGGATGATTGACGATGTACTGGTCTGTCTTTCTGGGACATAGGAAGGGTGATGGGGGGCTCTTGCACACCCTTCCTATCAAGCACAAATTGCCATGTGCAGTTTTTTGATTTGTACGCAAATCTGAACCGTCAGGACACTGGAGCAGCTAATTTAGCAGCGTCTTCCCCCAGATCCCAGATGGCTCAGTGTCATCTATTAGGCACAGCCTTGACATTTCTTGTGCCCTCAGCATCGCTGCAGAATGGCGACTTCTATAACAAAGCCGTTCTGCTAATCTCCCGCTCTGGCGAGAAAGAAGGTCCCAGCTGCTCTGGGAGAGGGCGGAGAGTCCTCCCAGGGCTGTGGTTTTAATGAGAAATGTAAAACTCGATCAGAGGAGCTGTGAAGTGGCACAGAGCACGTCTATCTCTCCCTCTGTCTCCAGTGGCCTTTTTGTTTTGTCCTTTAGAAAGGAAAAGAACACTGTAGAGGCAGATCAAATTAGACTTGTACTTAAAGTACGCCGTTGTGTCTCTTCCCTCGAAAGAAGCATGTGTTTATTTTAAAATGCCCGGGTTCGTCTCTCATTTCTGTCATTAACTATGTGACCAAGTTAATCTCTTTGGCCACATATGTGAAGTGGAGATAAAGCTGCTTATCCATCCCTCTGGAGTTCTGTGTGAACTGGCTGCAAAATGTTTTGAAGTGGTCACATGAAAGATATCGCTAGATTTAGCAGAGTAAAATGTAGCAGTTGGTGTCAATACGTACTGATCCATCAAAACTTGTTCAGCCTCCTGTAAATCCTTTTGAAACAGCAGCTTGCTTCTCTACGGATTGGTGTGTTTGCCATATCTGAGACAAACAAGCAAGTTAAGGAAGGGAATTCTGAGGAATTTAATATTACACGTTACTGCCGAATTGTTTGGTCCCTAGAAAACTTAACTGATGACATTGTGATTTTTCACATGGTCAAGTGATACTTAGTCAAGTTAGGAAACAGAAACAGCAGTCAAAATTGTTATTCCAAAAATCTTCAGTTGGTTTTACTTACCCCACAGTAAAGCTCTAAGTTTTGCAGCAATGTCAAGAGAGTAGAGGCCAGAAAATATATGTAATATATGTTTAAAAAAAGAGTAAAGAAAAAAAAGAGGAAAAACAGAACAGAGCAGAGCAAACGAGGAGAACTGTTTGTTTCCAGCTAGTGCTGGGTACTGTGGGGCACTAGGAGTTAGGCTGCTGTTACCTGGCAAGTAAAGTGATTGATGGCAGACTAGCTGGGACGCTCAGGTTTTACTCCAGGATCTGCCACTTGCTCGGGTGAGGCACGCGGTCCTGCGCCGTGCCGACAGCCTCGGCAGTGGGACTGGCTATGCTGGGCTGTCAGGACACCGTGGCTGTACTTTGTGTGCGGGGTTCAGCCTCCCAAATAAGAGGGAGACTCAAAGGGTGCTGAAGCCACAGACCACTTTATTAGGATCTATTTTTAGGCATCTCTTGCAGCTCATGTCATCATTGTTTCCATCAGTGGCTAATTGCCTGGGCACGTCTGTGCCTGCAGAGCCAGCGCCGGCAGCAGCTTCGCTTTGTGCAGTGCTTTCCCCGTGTGATTGCACAGGGACCTTCCCCTGGCCTGGGTAGCTCTGTGTGACGCCACTGGCTTTAATGAAGAGATACTGATTTATACAAGCAGAGGGTCTCTTTCGAGGGTTTGCTCTGTTGTTTGAAGCAATTTTTCCAGCATAAAGAGCCTTTCAGTTCCACAAAGGCACAGAGGTTCCTCCCATGCTGTCCTTTGAGTGGGCTTTCTGCCAGATACCAGGCTCCTGCCAGCCCTAAGAGCCAGGTATGTTTTATCACGGAAACTCCATGCAAAGCACCCCCATCGCTGCACTGTCATGCGAAGCAGCATCTGTAACTCAAAACTCAGTGCTCTCCGGGGAGGAGTGCCTGTACTTCAGCTTACCATGTGGTGCGTCTGCAGCTGGAGATCTGGCTTCAGGGTATTTCAAATAAAGTCAACAGCGCAGCAATGAAAATAATAAACAGCTTCCATCAGGAGGAATTAGGCTGTCTCAAGAGGCTCAGTGCTCTTTACTGCACGGCTGCTGTGTCCCTGTTACCTGGTTTCCCACAGAGGCAGCAGTTTGGGAATGCCACCGGCCGCCTGCAGCACCCGAGCTGGTTAGCTCTCCCTGCCGCTGGGGAGGAGGCTCTGGGAAATAGAAAATACGTGTTTTTAGGAGGTGCTGTCACTAGCTA